TTGAATAGCGAGAAACCCTAATTCTAACCCCAGGAGAATGCGAAAGAACAAAAAATATGAAACAACATCTAAGGAGCAATCCCCTCTTCTCTGGCTTGGGTTGGGTCTTTATAGGTGAATATATGCTGATATCTTCTAATTTATCCACCAATCATGACCTTTGAATATCTCAGCTGATTGAATTTCCAAAGGAGTTCTCACGAGAAGAAAACATTGACCTACCGGTAGGAAACACAAATTGACCTACCGATAGAAAAGTTACTACTTTCTCGTACTGGTAGCAAATCATAAACCAACCGATATAACTGATTTTCTTTAACCTTCCAAATAGGAAAAATTCAACCAATCAGTAGGAAATTTTATATTTTAGGTTCTACCAGTTGGTCTTCATAGCTATTGGTAGCACTGAATCTGCTCACTATTGAACCAGTAGGACTGGTCTTTTTCCCAATTACTCTTGCAATGCCTTTGGCTGGACTCCTAGATCTCTTAACTCATTTCCAAAGTCTTCCATAGTATTAAAATGAGTATAAAACCTTGCCCTTATATTGATTTTCCTATAAACACAAATATTCTCCATAAAAGACAAAATTAAGCTAAATAAAAGAAATAGATAACTAACATAGCTAAGATGAATGATATGAGACATGAAACATACAATATTATGCTCTCATCACCTACAGGAGGTCCTTTCAGTTTTAGGATGAGAGAATCTTTTCAATTCTCTCAAGAAGTGCTAATTCATAACTAATAGCGCCCTATTTTTGAGCTACATGGTCTCCAAGGATGGGATTTTAGTTGTCCAGTCCAAGGTGAAGGCAATAAAGCAGTGGCCATTTCCTAAGAAAACGTCTGATGTACATAGTTTTCATGGCCTAGCTTCATTTTATAGTTGTTTCTTTCCTCAATTTAGTATAATTATGACACCTATTATGGATTGCATGTGACACAGGAAATTCAGTCGGACAGATGAAACCATAGAGTCTTTTTGTTTAATCAAGCAAAAGTTAACTACTGCTGTTGTTCTCAACCTTTTGAGTTACACTATGACGCCTCTAAGGTGGGCATATGGGTTGTTTTAACCTAAAATGGTTATGATATTTTTTAGTCAAAAACTTATAGGTTCCAAGTTGAATTATATTATGTACGATGTGGGGTTTTATGCCATTGTTTAGGCTTTGTGGCATTGGTATTGTTATCTAATGCAGCGAGAGTTTGAGCTTTATTCTGACCATGATTTATTGAAGCACATCAATACACAAGATAAGCTTTGTCAGCACCATATGGGTTGGACTGTCTATTTACAACAATTCACCTTTGTATTAAAGACTAAGTCAGGGATTTAAACAAGTTTGTTGATGCTCTCAACCGACATGTATCTTTCTCAACATCATGCAAAACAAAGTAGTGGGGGTCGAATTTTTTTGTAATTTATATGCCAGTGACACATACTTTTCCTCGGTGTTAGTTGATGTCCACGTAGGAATTTGGACTAATTTCCACCTCACTGTTTGGCTTCTCTTTTAGGGAAACCCACTATGTGTTCCTGAATCTAGCCTTCGGTTTAAGCTTATTCATGAATTACACAGTGAAGAATATGTGGGCAAAGACACTAAAGTTGGTGACAGTTTCTTAATTCTAGCCTACCATGAGGAAGGAAGTCTATAATTTTTTTGAAGATTGCCACATGTATCAAGTATCCAAAGGAAAAATCGCAAATGTGGGGCTATATATGCCAGTTCCAATACCACAACATCCTTGGACAAATGTTAGTATGGACTTCATTCTGGGCTAGCTTCGAACACAACAAGGTAATGACTACATTTATGCGGTGGTTGATTGTTTTTCCAAGATGGCACATTTCATTCCTTGCAAGAAAGTTGCTAATGTATCTCATGTTGTCTATCTCTACTTCAAGGGTGTTTATAATTTGCCCAAATATTCTATTTTCTTAGATCGTGACACTCCTTTTGTTGGCCCCTTTTGGCACAGTTTGTGGAGGCTAGCCAACAAAAATCTGGATTTCAATAGTGGCTACATTAATCTGTGATGGCCAGATTGAGATAGTCAATCGGTCGGTGGGTAGTTTATTGTACAGTTTGGTAAGGGATGATCTAAAGAATTGGGATCATAAGATTTATCAGGCAGAGTTTGCTTACAACCTTTCTTTCAAGATTTGAAGCGACCTCAAAGCAAAGCTGAGGATTTTATCTGGCAATTGAAGGAGGAACACCAATCTACTCATTAGAATCCTCTTGACTCTGTATCCAAGTATAAATAAGCGGCAGATAAGCACTCTTGTTTAATGAAGTTTGAGGTTGGGGACTTTTTTTGGCCATTCTCACTAAAGATTAATTTTCCGTGGGTGAATACAAAATTGTCAACCCCAAAGATTAGGCCCTTGGAGATTGTGAGAAAAATTAACTTGAAAGCCTATAGGTTGAGACTTCCTAGTTATATTTTCACCTAAAATGTTTTTAATGTGAATCACCTTATTCCGTACTGTGGAGACAATTCTAAGGATGGAGAGGATGATGCAGATTAGATTGTAGCACACTACTTGGATCGTTGGGATCGATATAGAGGTGGTTCGGGCCAATCAAAGGGGTTGACTTTCTCAGAGCCACTTCTACACTCATAGGTTTTGAAACACCATGTCTAATTATAAAGGAAAAGGTGAAATGGACTCATCCCACTCCTAAAAGGGGGTGCGATGCATAAAGGCAAATTTAAGCAAATTCCTTCGTTTAGGGCCAGAAAAAAAATGTATTTTTACCCTTAGTAATTTTTCGTAGTTGAATTTTTCACCATCTTAAGTCAATAGCATTAATACAACTGCAACATCTACCCTAGAATCCACGAAGGGTGGACTAGGAGGGGGAGGGTCTGGTGGATGATTATGATAATTCTTTTTGTGGGTATCCACCTAGGGTTTAGGAAAAGTACGTCATCATGCCATAAAATTGATTCCCGACAATGGGAGTCTTGATTGAAGATTGACCTGCCTGATTTTCAAGGTAGTCAATAGCTTGAAGAATTCCTTGATTGGATTCATGTACTTGAGGAAATTTTGGTGTTCAAGGATGCACTTAAGGACAAAAAAGTCCCACAGGTTGCAACCAGATTTCAAGCAGGAGCTATTGCGTGGTGGCAACAATGTAAGACGACTCATTAGAGGCAATGGAAAAAGGAGATAGCTATGTGGGACAAATTGAAGAAGCATGTGTGGTAGGCCTTTCTGCCACATAATTACATGAAGGCATTATACCAGAGCTTGTAGAATTTATGGCAAGGTAATCGATCTGTGATTGAATACACTGCCAAGTTTCATCATTTAGTAGCACGTAATGACCTGATGTAGGACCAATTGGTTTCAAGTTATGTTGGAGGTTTGCAACCTCAAATTCAGGATACCCAAAATTTTTTTGTCCCTTATTCTATTTTTAAGGCTTACCAGCATGCCGTCCACTTGAAAAATCAGTTGAGCTAAAAAGTTGGGGGAAATAGTAGTTGTTCTAGATGTACTGCTTTGGGTTATGGGGGAGACAATTTGGTATCGTCTAGTCTTCCTACCAACCTACTAATACTCAATAGTAGGCAGGTAGGAGTGGGTGTGCCAGCCGTATGATCTGTAGGGGCAACCAGTAGTATGAAATAATTTAAGGGTGGTGAGAAAGGCCATAAAATGGAGGACTGTAGGAAAGGACACAGGCCTAGGAAAAATCTATTCATAGATGGTGAGGACATCCAAGAGGAGCCTTTCATAGAGTATGATCAAGCAACCATATATGACGTTATTCAAGATGAAAGTCTTCTAGAAGATAAGGTAAAAGGAGACAAAGGGCCACTCCTGGTTGTTCAATGAGCATCCTTGAACCTTGGAGTTGAGGATGGGGCTGAATGGTTGCAAAATAATATATTCCATTCTACGTGCACCATAGGCAGAGAAGTTTTTTATTTGGTTATTGACTCTGGTAGTTATGAGAACGTGGTGGCAGAAGAGGCTATCCAAAAATTAGGCCTACCCATGGAGCAACACACAAAATCATATAAATTGGCATGACTCAAGAAGGGCGGCAAGGTAACCATTTCCAAAAGATGTTTAGTGTCCTTTTCCATTGATTCAAAATATAAGGATAAGGTCTGATGTGATGTGATTAACATGGACGCGTGTCACCTTCTACTAGGTAGACTATAGTAGTTTGATCTATCTATCAGGCATGATAGGAGGAGGAACACTTACAGTTTCATATTTTATAATGTTAAGATAGTTCTGTTTCCTAGTAGAGATCTTTCCATAAAGCCCCCATCTGGGGGAACATCTAATTTTTTGTCCAATGCCTAGTTTGAAGAGGAGATGCATGAACTAAAGTTGTTTACATGTTGGTCTGCAAGGAGTAGATTAGCAGAGTTTCTTTCCTTGAAAGACTTTCAATCTCTACTTTAAGAATTTTAGTATGTCTTCCCGAATGATCTGTCGGATGAGTTATCGCCCTTGCAAGATATTCAAAACCAAAATGATCCCATTCTTAGTGTTAACTTACCCAAAAGACAACATTATTGGATGACCCCTAAGGAACATGAAGAACTTCGTAGGTAAGTAGAGGAGCTTTTAGGTAAGGGGCACATCAAGGAAGGTCTTAGTCCACGTGTAGTGCCAGCCTTGCTCATACCCAAGAAAGATGGTACCCAAAAAAATTGTGTGGATTGCAAAACAATTAATAAGATCAATGTTCGTTATAGATTTCCTATAACCAGGTTTGAGGATTTTCTGGATCAGCTAAATAGAGCGAGGGTGTTCACCAAGATTGATACTAAGAGTTTGTAGCATCAGATTTGGATTCAAATTAGAGATGAGTGGAAGACATTGTTTAAGACGCATGAGGGGTTGTATGAATGGCTTTTTTATGCCATTTGGCCTTTCTAATGCTCCTTGTACTTTCATTGATAGTTTTGTCATCTTTTATTTCGACGACATTATTATCTATAGTGCCACCAAGGAGCTAAACGTCCAAGACTTATGGGATGTCCTTTCGGCCTTACGACAAGAGAAGCTTTCCGAATCTCTCAAAAAGTTCTCAGTCATGACTGATAGTGTCCTATTTTTGGGCTATGTCATCTCCAAGGATGGCATTTCAGTTGACTTGTCCAATGTTGAGGCAATAGAGTAGTGCCTAAGACACTTTTTCTAGTATGCAGTATTCATGGACTAGCTTTTTTTTTTTATCATTGTTTCATTCCTCATTTTAGTACAACTACGACACCTATTATGGATTGCATTTGACTCGGGAAATTCAACTGGATAGATGACGCCGCATAGGCTTTTTGTTTGATTAAGCTAAAGTTTACTTCTGCTTCTATTCTTATTTTACCAGATTTTTCTCAACCTTTCGAGTTACACTGTAATGCCTCTAAGGTGGGCATAGGGGCTATTTTAAGCCAGAATTCCAAGAACACGACATCTTTTAGTCAGAAACTCACAAGTTCCAAGTTGAATTATAGTATCTTTGATGTGGAGTTTTATGCCATTGTTTAAGCTTTCTGACATTGGTACTATTATATGATGCATCGAGAGTTCGTGATTTATTCTAACCATGGTCCATTGAAGCACGTCAATATGCATTCCCGGTGCCACGAGGGTTGGACTGCCTATTTGCAGTAGTTCTCCTTTTTATTAAAGCATAAGGCATGGGCTTTAAATAAGGTGCCTAATACTCTCAACGGATGCGCATCTTTTCTGCAGGATATAGAAAAACAAAAAAGCAAAAGAAAGAGACAAGGAATTCTGGAAGAAAAAAAAAACAATTTTAAGCCAAGAAAGTGAAAAATGGGAAAAAAAAAAAGAAATAAACATGTGAAGATTTAGAAAAATAGAAGAAGGTATGCCACAATACTAAAAGATAGCATTTGAATTCCACTGACGTCGTTTCATAAACCTTAAACCCATGGCCAGATTACAATCCTAATAAAGTCCTTTTTGATTCCAGAAATCATATATTTGTATTAGTTCTATTAATTCTAAAAAGGAAAATATTAATAGTATATTTAATATAATATTCCTTCGTGAGATTATGTCAAATTCTAATTTTTTTCAACTAATCATTCTTTTGATTACTGCATGTGAAATTAATTGCATTGATAACTCAATTCCAAACACATGTAGTTTGTGAGAATAGTCACTATAATAGATGTGTTTTTTTGCTGAGTGTATTTCAGGGAAGGATTGACACCACAACTACCAGAAAAGAGGGTAATATTTCTCAAGTGATTTTTGAAAATAAAGAGATTATCACACACCCACAAATTTGTATAAAAATACATAGATAATATTACAACTAACGTGTGTTACTCTTATAGTGATCAGAGAAGGAAGTATCTTGACAAAACAGATAGAATATTAATTTAATTTTACTTGTGAAAAATATGAATCATGAATTTTTAATTACTAAATTTTGTAAGTAGCTTTACAGAAAACTTTCACGAGACAAAACTCGTCCACTAGGAATCACCTAGGGGTTTAAATGCTTGTTGCATATGCTAAATGCAATCGTGAAAAATCTACCAAAATGATTTTACCTCTGTTTGTATTATATTGTGTTAAAAGTTTGTTTAAAATTTACTAGGGACTAATAAAGTTTAAGTTGGGGAGTGTGATTAACCCTAATTAGTATATAACTTAGAATGGTTAATGAGTCAAATTGGTGTGATAAAATAATTAAAAACTACTAATTAAAGTCAATTAGGGTTTGTGCGGTAATTAGGGTTTTATGTGTGTTATGTTTACAAGTTACAGGTTAAATGCTGAAATACTGAAGAATACAAGGGGCAATGCATAAAAGCATAAAAGAATAAAGGCCAAAGTGTAATTTTCCAACAAGAAGAGTCAGCATACAACGCAAGTGGGAATTTCCAGCAAAGCATCACTGTCTGGACGGTGGTGATGGCATCGGAACGGTCCCCCTTGATCCTATCTCCAGCCTTCCACCTCCTGCTTCTTCAAATGGCTATAAATAGTCATGCCTTGCTTCGTTCTTCAACAGGCTGGAACCAAGAGAGAAAAAGAAAAGAGATAGAGTAAAAGAGAAGTTGCAAAAATGATCCGGTCCGTGATGCACTTCAGTCTAAACTTTGTACTTTTACGTTTATGTTGTATCATTCTATTCGAATAGTTGAAATGTTGTCACCTTTTTGTCTTAACTGATAATAAAGGTGATTGTGTTTTAGTTGTTCCTTGTGAAAGACATTTTAAATTTTGTATTTTAATTTCAGTTGTAATGAAAACTCTCTACACTCCTTGCTTGTCTGTAGCAATGGAGCGTGAGTAGTTCCGTATATCCTCCAGTGAGAGGTAAACATATGTATAATACTGGTTAAATTCTGGAAATGCTGATGTTTTATGTATTTATATATCTATGTATTATATGCTTCATGCATGATACAGTGATGTACGTATTTTCGGTGCTGTGCCTGGAAGTATGTCATCAGTGCATCATCAATTTGCCGGTAAAACAACCACAGCATTCCTATCGGTATGGCTAGTCCTCCACCGGAACGCTGAGAATGTTAACTGATGCATGGAACAAAACATAAATGATCCTTATGGGTTATTAGGGTTTAACTTATATATAACTATCAAATGAATGACCAAAGTGATCCTCATGAATGACTCATCCTTCTGCATTACTTAGATCGTTTAACTGGTATAAAAGATAAAATTACCAGTCTAACAACCACGGCATTCCTATCGGTATGGGTAGTCCTTCACCGGAACACTGAGGATGTTTAACTGGTATATATGTATCACAAGATATAGTTGAATGAATAATTCAAGTATTCCTCATGAATGACTTGTCCTTTTGGTTTGCTTGGATTAGTCAATTGACATATCAATAACCAGCTAACTTAAGAAGTTGATGTGTTATGACTACTACCACCGGTTGACCTAAGAAGTGGCCGTGTTATGGTTTATTATGTATGCACCTACTATTATGAAGGCAAATGAATAATTCAAGTATTCCTCATGAATGACTGGTCCTTCTGGTTTGCTTGGATTAATCAGTTGTCATGTATACCGCCAGCTAACCTAAGAAGTTGTTGTGTGATGGTTTATATACATCAGACCTACCAATTGACTTGCCAGTAAAATGGAAGTTGATTGTTGTAAGGTAACATTTTCAACATTTAACCAATATAAAGCATATGGGATCCTTGAACTGAAGGATATTTTTTATTATTGTTTTTACTCTATCTGCACATAACTGTTTACGTAGACTCATTATTAATCTAAGCTCACATCACAAGCTATCACATGTTGTCTTATTCGAATTAGCAACTTTACTATTTTATTTCATTTCCAAATTGTTAAAACTCTTCGTGGGATCGATACTTGGACTTAAAACCGAGAAAACTACAATTCAACAACTTATAATTGGGTGTATAATATTAATTCGATCACTAAAAAGTGCGAATTAGTCTAGGAAAGTGAGTGGTCAAGATGTATCTTGCAATCTATATGTATGTTGAAAATATGGAATATATGTATGAAAAAATTATTCAAAAAAGACTAAGTTACGTTGTCTTTGTTTTATCTATCACAAATATACAAAGAATGAAATTATAGCCAACATAAGTGATATTAGATGTAAAACCCGGTAAATTTAAATTTTTGTAAACAAGGGAAAAACGGTAATTTTGTCGCTACAGTACGGGTTGAAAACTTGAGTTTTTCTAGATCTCAAATGACAAAATAGACCTCACCGTTGGATTCTTCTCGCAAAATCTAGTTATCATGTCAAATTTCATCAAATTCTGAGATAGTCGAATTTTTTGTACTTTATGAGGCGGTCGAGTCTTGGGTGAACCAAAAACGGAATTTTAATGAAATTTCAAAAGTTCGAAAATAATTAAAGGCAAATTAAAATAAAATTAATTTAAACTTGAACTGGGTCGAAATTTATTCACTTCGGGATGAAAACGGACTCGAAAACAAAAAGGTTGTGTGGCGTGTTGTGGACCAAGTATTCTAAGAGTATAAATAGGAGAAAAAAATTAGATTTTCCCCCATTTTCTTTACCCATTTAATGTGAGAGGGGAAGAGAGGGAAAAAGGGAGGAGCTCTCCACTTCTCTCTACGATCTACAAGGCTATGGTGCTCAAATTCACTCGGGGCAAGAACAAAAGTCGATCTCCTTGTCGAGGGCTACACGACCACACCAAAAATGAGGGATTTCATTGAATTTTCAAAACCAAGCTTGGTGGAATCAAGGGCTTGGGGCGAGAAATTGAGTCTTAAGGGCTTCTACCAAGTGGATTTACGCTTCAAGAGGTAGGGTTCCTTCCTACTTGGGTTTATTTTACAACCTAGAGCGTTATATGTAATGGGTAGATGAATAGCTACTTATATCACTTGTCTATGGTTGTAAAATAGATGGAATTGGGTGATTAGTGAATTGAGTATGTGAATTTGACCCAAATTAAGTAAAATTCCTAGATTGGAATTGGTGGGTTATAATTATTGCGCAATTCTATGGAAAATGGGTGTTATGAGGGCATGCTATATGTCTTATATTATACTTTGTGAATGAGGTGAAAATTCTTATGTGATAATATGAATTGTTGTGTCGAAGGTGTTTGCCAAAATGCCTATGTGTGGATTAAGTCGTTATGACATGATGATGTATAACATGCTTAGAAAAATGTGTTCAAAATAAATGTTAATATATGCTCATTGAGATATTGACATTGTTATGATTTATGGAATTTATTTGCATATGATATGAATCTCCGTGGAACATGTAGACATGTAGTTTAAAATTGCTCATATGATATTCATTACATGTGGGCATGATGTTGGAATAACAATGATGCATTACATTGCATATACACGTAGACATCGCATATTATGGGTGTGGGTGCATGGTTGACATCAAACACCACGTAGGTGGATGATGGGTGGGCTCGAAAAAATTGGATTGAATGTTTAACTAAGTCACACGGTTGTATGAAAAAGACTTGGGTCGGGGTAGCAAGAAGGGTTAGACTATCCCTCGAGTGAAAGACCTGGTATTTGAATACACACTTCCATTGGTATGAGAGCTCATAAAGTGTGTCGGTGTAAGCGGAACCGTTGGTGAAAGTCCATGAATTCCGTGTCGGTTGGGTGAACATTGGT